AGCATGTCCGCTCGCCTCCAGAGAGGCATCGATTTGCTGGCAGCTGGTAACCACACAGACGGCTGGCACATCGAAATGAGCTGGGGAGCAGAAACTGGAAGATGAATAACTGCAGGGAGGGTGATACTGACTATTTTTATATTCGGAGCCTTGCTGAGTGAATCCAGTCTTTTTGGATTGACAGCCTCATAAACAAAAGCAATCCACCACTATCTTTGAACAACTGCAGGCTTTTAAGATGCAGAAACAGAGTTGCTTTACAAATGATATTCAAGACAGGTGGTGTATATTTTCTTCTTATTTACACTATCTTTTCAAGTATTTACATGAAAAGATAAAAAAGGCCCAGATTCAAGTTTTAAAGTGTATACATGCAGTGACGTACATGACGTTATTTTAAAAAGATTTTAGATTCATAATTTTACCTATATTATGTGTAACTGAAAAACAATCAAATCTGCTGCAAAAAAAGAAAAAAGGTGAAATGTTCATCTTTAGACAACATTTTACTTTATTGAAGCACTTTTTATTTTAACTTCAGTTGTTATTCTTCTATTGATTTGGATGCAAATTTGAATTCACTGTGATGCTAAAAAAATAAAACATCATAAATAAGGATCAACTTATGATTGTCTATTAGTGATTCATTAGATTGAAATCCGTTCCAGTTGATTAACTAACAAAGTCCTATTAGACCTTCTTTTAGTGTTGTAGTTTGGCCGCCATCCAGCAGAGGGCACCGCTGGTCATCCTTAAGCAAAGCCAGATACAGAACAGGGAAGATAAACGATCCAAGCAAAGTCCGGTTTGAGATACAAAATGTACTTTATGCGGTACTGTTTTGAAATATAAATGACATTGTTTTTGGATTTGCTCATAGCTGCGTTGACGAAAACATCTCTTCCATTTGGACAAAAGTAAGCCCGCATCATTCTTTTTGTGATGCCAGTGTTGTTTTGGTGCCTAAATTAAAATTAATGTTTCATGATCATACCATAATACAGTTCCCCAAAGTGTTTAAGTCTAGGTGTAAATTTTGGATGAATTATGAATTATGTCTTGTACCCTGCTGTTTAGTACGTAAATGTGTGAATTCAGACTGAAAAGCTGTTTTAGCAAACTATTCATGTAAGGATTAACACATGCAAACAATGAGCAAAACAAATCTCATGATGTAGCTTGGGTTTCACAGTATATTTTCCCCAGTGAATAGCATTAAATATTTTTGTTAGTTATTACTGCTTTCAGTATGTGATTTGCTTACATACATCTTTTGCCAGTCATATTTTTTTACAAGGATTTGTTTCCTTTTTTCCCCTCCTGAATAGCCTTTGTATCATAAAGCATTTAACTGCATGGCACAAATCTCTATGACTAATGACAACCCATAATGTCCTTAGTAATACTAAGACTGCATTACTATGTGATTCAATGGATTATCAACGTATCGTGAGAAAATCCCTGTCAGAGCCAAGAAAATGCCATGAAGTGATATGAATTTCCTTAATACTTCACAACTCACCAAACAAAAATCGAATGAAGACTGAAAGGACAGCTCCTAAGCTCTTTTACATGATTAATATAGGTGTCTGTATTTAACTGGAACCATAAAACGAGGTTAAATACGTTCAGAATGTCTCTGAGGCTGCAGCTATAAATTGAACACTGACTTGGAATGCGAACTCTTGTAGATTCATAATCCAATTATCCTGCTGGTCACTCCATTACACATCAGTAATATATAGTTAAATCCAAGTAATGACAACTGAATTAGCCTTTCAGGAGGTTTAAGTAAGATCAAAAAGAGGGAAGTTGCTGTTGATTCAGAAATCCCAAGTGGGGATAACCATGAGAAAGGATTTTCCCTGTTTAAGGGAACAATAAGGGGGAATACTTTCATGCTTACTTGCATCATCAATGGCTGCCCTCTCTGATGTAAGAACCCCAGACCAGGCTGGGAGGAACAAGGAAGATGGTGTTTGATTTGAAGGTTCTGATGTGGCAAGGTAAAGGTCAGAGGGTACTGCACTCGTGGAAATTGTCGTCTCATTTTGCGTCCACATTCAAATTGAGTTCTTGGTGTGAAAACTGAGTTTCAAAGAACTCTTTCTGTACATTTATGTACTTTATACATACATATGCATGTATAAAGTGCATACATATGTGTATGTCCAAATTATTAGAAACTATCAGGCCCACTTTGGATAAGCCCACTCTTGTTCTCTGTGCCATAAACTACATTTTTTATGAAGTATTTCACATCTGCCTCATGTTCACCTCACTCTGTTTTCATTAAACATCAAACATAAGCTGGAGACGATTATAAATTAAAGGTTGTTGTTTTGAAGAAAATTAGTATTGCTTTTCCCATGCTCAAAATAATTGTCTTTTGATTTTTAATGTAATTTGTCAACCGTCTCATAGTAAAGAGATTAAAAAAAAAAAGAAGAAAATCTTCAAAAACAATCTGTTGTCATGTTTTGGACTTTAGAGAGAGCCTTTATTAATTATCACTCATCACTGAAGAGAGATTCTTTTAAAAAAATAGCAAAGTATTAAAAAGTCATTAAAACTTCTACATGCAAAAGAACAGAAAGCTTAGATGCCAAATATTAAAACTAAGTACAAAGATAAATGATAAAACCACATTAAGCAAACATCTGAACCTGGACTGCTTTATTCTAGCAGTTCTGGGATTTTAGCAAAAAACTGCTCCTGGTTTCCCAGTATATTGTATGCAAAACGTTAGGTAGCAAGAAATAAAAACTCTTTTTTCAACTGTATTTCAACTGTTGATATGTTTCTCAACAGCAGGGCTGTGATTGCTATGTCGACAATACACTTACCTAAAAAAGTCGCAATAAATAGTTCTTATTGTCACTTTTATTAAATATCATGATAAAGCTTTTTTTATGCCCTAGATCAGATGTAGCTTATCTTTTCTTCTGGCTCTTTAAATTTGTCTTTACCTTTAGATATTGGGTTATTTTTCCGTCATTTCCAGTCTAAGTTTTACACCTGACCATTTTGAGACAAATGTTCTTTTTTGGTGCCGTTTTCCTAAGCCAACAACACAGACACAGACAAACTAGACTTCTAACAGAAGGCAAAACGCCAGTACTTTGTCTAAACATAACAGAGAAGTTGGCGCAGAAGCATCCAGAGTGACTTGGCCTTGTTTCTGCGCTCTTCGGGTAGGCGGGAGCCTGATAGAGGCCCAAAGAAAAGGCAGTAAGAGAGAACACATTTAGAAGTGAATGTGTGACTAAGACAACGATGGAGATCCAAGGTGACTATCTCAGGAGAAAAGAGCGACATAGAGACAGCATATTGCAGGAAATCCTGTGTCACCCCCTAGTACAACTGATACATCCATGACAGCAAAGCAGAAAGTATGGAAGCGACATCTGTGAGGTTGCAAAGACAGAGGTCAGGGGAATGACTGAGAGGTAATATGAAAGAGAAAAGGAAGATTAAAGCTTTTTGCTTGCTGCTCGAGCTCAAACTAAGTCCCATCTTGGCCTCAAATCTCCTGTTGCCATGGCAATTTAACGGCGGGTTGGTGTCCCAAGAGACTCTGACCTGCGAGCGCAGGCAAGGAGGGAGCTAAACACACAAGGAAAAGGAGCGCAGAAAAACAATATAGGTGCTTTAAACAACAACTGCACTGCAATGAATGCACTACTGGCAAAAACTAACAATACACGGTCTAGTTCTGCTAATTAACTTGCACAGGTAATTAATTTGGATTTAGTAAATATCTCCTTATAGATAAACATCTTATATATGATAGTTTGACCCATATGGTGTTCGTTGCTCGGCATTATTAAATGGATCCAGTCATTTCACACTGCTGATGTCATGCTGACCTTTCTGTGTCACTGACACAGCCAGACAAAGCTTTCTGTAACCGTCTGGAAATGTCAGAGAATCTTTGAGCAGACTATCTTAGCAAAAGACAAAAATTTGGAAAGCATAATATAATACAATTCAGAGTAATACATTATCTTGTCCAATGTATCTCAAGATATAGTGAAAATTGATAGAATACTAAGAATTTTTTTTTATTACATACTTCATCCTACATTGCAAATTTGTTTGGAAATCTGAGCACATTTTATGTTTTACTATTTTCTCCTCTAAATTGTAAAGCAATCAATTTGTACCAATAAACCCAGGGAAAAAGCTCAATTTTGAGCCAAGTATGCAGACACAGCTGTTGCTCTGGGTGAACACAGAGAGAATAACCATTAAAAGCAACCAAAGCACTCTGTACTCCCACAGCAGTCCCCACAAACTGCCCAATTTGTTCTCTGCGCTGCCTTAAAAACCTAAATTAGGTGCAAGAAAAATAAGCCAAGATCGTAATTCCCTCCTTCACCATTCTTTATGATCAACACTCATATTTAATAAAATTATTTTATAATTTTGGATGAGGTGAAAAGCACCTTTTGAATATAATAACCTATAAGCAGGTTTTAAGTATACTTTTCATTTCTTTATTAATCTTTTTTAAGTCTAATGTAATATTTGTATTTTATATATGTTTTCATTAACTTTAAGCAGAAAATGATCATAATTAACAGAAATAAAGGCTTTCAAACATCATTCTGTGTCTGTATGTAATGAGTTTAACTAAATGATAAAGCTTCTGAAATAAATGGGCTTTTCAGTAATATTCTCATTTATTGATTGTGTATGTTTTTCATTAAATATGGTATAGTGCTTTATTTAAAGGACAAAAAATGGTTAAAAAAAAAAAAGAACCTTACTACAATTTGAATTTATTTTTACAGCATGCTTTTTGTTTCACTTATTTTGTAACAATAACACCATTAACTCTCTAGGCTATTTCCCAGCATTGCACTTAGGTCCAAGTACATGATGAATTGTGTACCCATGAGTGCATTCTTTACAGAAAACAGGGAAAGGATCAGAATGAACTCAGTTGTTTTCTTTTGGAGGAGAAAAGTGACTCATGTTGTTTTCTGTCTTTACAGCTGTTTCCTTCATGAGACACAGCGCCTCAGCCTTTGGATTTGCTGTGAGTCCCAGCTTCCTGCTTTCCTCCCTAAACGCTGATCAATTAGTCATTGCTGGGGACCTCGGTAATTTATTAATGAATCCCAGAACCAAAGTGTTATTGGTCCCCTTGTTGCCACGGTAACAAAGGAGAGCGGATGGACTCTCCAAGGAGCTGGGATGGATTGTCAAAATGCATTTTGAGTTTGTGAAAGAGGTCATCAGGTTTTCACCAGAGGATAATGTTATGCAAGAGTTCATAATTACAAGAGGAAATGATTAAGATTGTTTCTAGTAGGAGAATGTACAACTTAATAACAAGGAAATGAAAATTAATACATTCACACCTTGGGCTTTTGGTGGGAAATGTGATTAGCATAACATGATTAGGTCATTTGAACTGCAGTTCTGGCTATTTTATCTCAGAAGGTTTTAATTATCTATGGTAAATCATCTGAATATATGTTGCTTTTGCCAACTATAATACTTAAAGTCAGCATTGTTTTGATCGGATCAACGAACATTTTATTATTTTGCTTTAAGATTTTCTGTAGTTCCTGTTTTGATACTTATCAGTTTATATTGAATTCTTCACAGAACAACTGATTTATGTTATCATTAGTCCAGATTAGATCATTTAAAATACACCATTTAATAAAAACCAATAAAACGTGCTGTCATTAGTGGTTTCGCCCTTTTAATATGGGTGGTACGGCTATCTAATCAGGGAAGCATACCCTCAGGGGGTGGCATCAGGACTCAGCAAGGAAAAAAATAAAATCTGTCAGTTGTACAATAAGTTATTTTTGTTATTTATTACACTGTAAGAAAATAGGGCCACAATATACAATATTTAACACCATCCTCTCTTAAAACTTTGTAAAATCCCTTAAAGATTTATTGTTATATATATATCTATATATAGATATAGATATATATATATATTTTTTAAAATCAAGCCGATAATTTAAGTATTTTTGTACAATTAAAAAATACCTCTTTTTTTAAACATCACAAAAGCTACATTTACTAGGAAAATATTTACAATATAAATAAATTCAATAAGAGCACTTTTAAATACTTACTTTTTAAATTGACCAGTTATTATTGAATATCTGTGGTCACAATTAGTAAAATTCTTACCATTTCTTTTTTCTACTTGCGTTTCTCTAACCGGCCGTAGTTTGATGCCATACTGGATGTCATGTCATCAGCCATCGTCCTTTGGCGCTACAGCAACGCAGCAGCTGTTCACTCTGCACACAGAGAGTACATGTGAGTATAAACAAGTCTTAAAAAAGACACATATAGATATATATGTCAAAAACAGAAAGTGTTCATTTCTCGTGAATAAATAAGACAGAACAGGTTAGGATGTTGGGTGCATTCAAATCTAACTCAAAGCACATTTCTGTTCCTGTTTTGGGGTCTGCAGAGCGTGTGTGATCCTGGGGATTGTGTTTATTCTCTCCTCACTATGTATCCTGGGAAAAGCCATCCATGATCTGGCCACCAGGATGCCTCCAGAAGTGGTAAGGCTACTTAACACACATTAAACAGTAAATCTAAGTTTATAATCTTGTCAAAACCTTTAAAACATTATATACAAGTGGCATAATGAGCGCTTTAATATCTGAGTCATGCTCAATGAATAGCAGATGCAAAATACTTGGGGTTAATAACCTTCTATGAATCTACCATTTCTTAGCTGCATGAATATAACTGTGTATTATAAAATAATAAAACTGATGTTTGGGGATTCTGCATGAATAAATGGCACACTGCTCTCCAATTATAGTCAAAATTCAATTCTAACAAATTTATTCCAATGCAGTCCAGTCATATTGCCAGAATATTTCAATCTAAATGATAATAAATGCAGTGAAATTCAGCTTATCATTTATTGCCAAGTGGTAAAAAGTCCTCTATAGGAGAAAGTGAGCTTAAAAGCATTCACAGATAATTGGTCCTAATTTGATGAGATGTTTTTGTAAACAAACCGAGCTCAAACACAAAGAAAAGATTACATTTACAGCGTCGGATTGTAACCACGGTAACACAACCAAAGAATGAAGATTAATATTTTCATTTTTACAAACTAAACTTACCAATTCTCTTAAACAATAAATTTAAAATTTAAACAATTTAACATATTTTATTTATGCTGAGTTAAAATTTAATAGTATTCTCATTCTCAAAAAAAATAATATAAAGGTTTTAGATCTGGTCTGTGTTAAAATTAAAGCACTTTTGGGAATCCGCTGAGAAGCATACTTTCTACAGAAAAAACAGAGGAAAAACATTCATATTTGCAAATAAAAATGCGCAATAGATGGAAAACATAACTATAGATGTACATCAAATTAACTTAAGATGCTTTAAACTTACAGACAATCAAGGAAACTTTGTTGAGACGATACATGTCCAACAACCAATAAAAAAGAATTTGGGTTGGATTCTTGGTCTGCATGCTGGGTTCCCTGGAAAGATGCTGCTGAGGTTTGGCAGGTGCAGTAACGTAAAGGTGCAAAAAAAGAGGTTGTGATAATCCTAAAATAGATCACAGAGTCAAGGTGAGTAATGAATACTCTACCAGTCTGTGACTTTCCTGGTTTCTTTGAAACTACAGAAATAAAAGCTTCAGGAAAATGAAAGTGGGTTCTTCAGGAAATAGCTTGTCTACTACGATCAAAGATGTTCACATCAGGGTTTCCTTCGCTGGAATAGAAAGGTAAAGACAGAGTGTCTTGTCTTGGTTATTTTTAAACACATAGATCCTGCATTAGGCTTATTCTCCAAATGTTTCTTTAAATTAAAGACTACGTCTTTATTATTGTTCATTTCTGCTTTTAACAAGGACTCCTCCTCACTTTCTTATAACATCACTTTTCATCTCTCTGTGAAACTGTTGAGACTATGAATAATCCTGACAGTGTTGCATCTTTTCTTAGCTGCACTGTGACGAATTAGTGTCAGTTTAAAGCTGATTTTTCACAGTGTTTTAATCTCAAGAACAGACAGAGAGAGACAGAAAACAAGAGAATGAGAAAGAGAAGCCAAAACCGCAAAACTGCCATGAGAGATGATTTTTTAAAGAGTAAAAATCATTGTCACTTGACATGTTTGAGAAAACCTGGATTTATTAAATCAACAAAACAAAGTTCACATTTTGTAACATTCATGTTGTTGTTCTACTGACAGTTTAGTTTAGTTTGGGACTACATCCTGATTGGGACCCCAAATCAATGCTTTGGATCAGATTAGGACATTTCTAACATAAAAAAAAAAAATAAAATTGCAGATAACATTTAAACCAGGTGTGCAGCATGCAGACAGTGTGTGTTTATCATTATTTCTTAATACATAAAGCACAATAATACTAATTTACTTGACTGAACTTCTTCTGAAACAATTTCCCATTTCGGAGACGTCTTTGTCTAACTTTAATCGACCCCGAGTCAAACTGATTTTTCTGTCGACCGTAAATTGCCTCAAACTCTTTGACTAGTTGACATTTGGGTGGGTGTGACATTTAAAGGAAGGAAAAATGTTGTTAGAAACAATTAAAGATCTCCGATGGTAAAGAGACGTATTCAAGGCAGGAGAAGAAGGGGAGCTGGTTAAGGTCAGCAGCTTCTCTCCAGACTGTGTTTATTGCTTTCATGCCATTATGTTAATAGAGACCATGTGTTAGAGCCCAGTGGGATCTTGCTAACACCATCAAAAGCCTATTACCACTATCTTTCTCTTTGACACCCCGCCTCTTACATCCGCCACCTCACTTATTTCGTCACCTTCTGTCAGCCCTTGAAATCCTTCCTTAGTTATAAACATTCTGCTTTCTAGCATGCATAAACTAAAGCAGTTGTTAGTGTATTCAGAGTTTCTCTGTCACAGGATTTGCGCTTTGGTTGAATATGTAGATGCAGTAGTTTGGAGGATGAAATGATGCAGAGTTTCTTTTTTGTTCTCATTTAAAGCATCATATCTTTTCCCTGTGAACTGACCTCATCTGCGTTCTAGAACTTTATTATCATTAGTAGTCTGTTTTCTTTGAGGTACAGAAAATCACTGAAGTCTTCAAAAAAAGGAAGTCACAGGTGATTTACCACACCAGATTTCCTTTCATTTTAGTGTGAAAGAGAAAAACAAATAATGAAAGAGAACATTAGACTTTGCACATTATGGTGTCTAAAATAAAACTCCTCTCACATGGAAGCTGTACAGCCTGAGGAGGAAAACCACACGGTGGGATTACTGTAAAATGTTGCTGCTTTGTACAGAGGGATGAAGAAAAGGTAGAAATCCCCATTCGGATCACGTCCTCTTGTGCAGCTCTGACTGTCTGTCCATCTCTTGTACCTGATTAAACACACAACCAGAAGAGCCCCTCTGTGTCAAGAAAAGAGAGACAGAGCAGCTTTGAAACCATTGTAATGTGCAAGTATCTCATAGTCATACACACGTAGGATTTTTGCAGTAATAGAGCTTTTAATATTTGAGATTTCCAAATTGAATTCTAAAAGACTGTCAAGATGAACTCAGCCATCGTTCCCGTTGGTAGCACCATCCAGCCCATTTTGGGGGATCCCACAGCTTCCCTGGGCCACAAGGGATTTAAATTGGTTTTGGTATCTTCTCCTCATGAAGCACGCCCAGGAAACGACATCACCCGCTTGAGAGTCAGAGTCAAACTACTCCTCAGCCCAACTCCTCTAATAACGGTTGTTAACGACACGATGAGGAGCGTTGTTGTGATGGAATGTTGGAAACAATGAGAGCTTCTTAAAGAGACAGAGGCCCAATTTCAAAATGAAGGTATCTTATTGCAGTGATGCTTATTTACTGTAGATATAGAGTAAAATAGAAATACACTGCAGACCGTTCAAAGTCTTATTTCTAAAATATTTTCATTTTTTGTTACAACTATGGAGAAATTTGTAAATGTCTGTGACATAAGATACCAATAGAAAGCCTGTGGTTGTAACATTAATAAAACAATAATGAGTAAATATTAACTGTTTAAATACTTTTCCAAAGTAATTGAGGTTTAAGTAAAAAGTCCAATGTTAGTAATAAATGTCTAAGTTACAAATTAATAAATCAAAAGCTTTTAATTTGGTCTATGTAAGTGAAAATCAGAGCCTAGTGAAGACAGTCTTTGTGTTTCACTGCCAGATATTCTTTGCCTTTTCTCGCCTCCTTCTGATTTCTGTCTTTCCTGAAGCAGGGGTCAAGTTTGGGTTTCTGCTGAATTCGTTTGAGACTGATAGTGAGAATAAAAAAAAAGAGCTCGAATCATTTCAAAGCCTCATCGGTACGACCTTGAACTGATGCACCAATTAAAGAGGAGCACTGAGTTTAAAATGCTTGAGCTAACGAAAAGCTAACAATTCAGCCTTCCATTTAAATGAGTTTGCTTCCCTCTTGACTCTGTGCCAAGTACTACAGGTATTGTATACAACCATAGAAACAGCCAGTTTCATGAGCTTTTTCTCTGTTCCCGTGTGTGACCCCAGGATGACTTCCTCTACAGCGTCTCCATAGTGAGCGGCCTCTGTTGTGCTGTGCTGGCCGTGGCCAAGTTCATGCTGGGAAAAAAGCTGACCAGTCGGGCACTTATTACTGACGGTGGGAAGTCTGCACACTCACTTAATTTAATAAATAACTTGTCTGATAAATGGCGTAGGTGGGACTTAATGCTAGAGAACACATGGAAAACCAAAACATAAATGATAAAAGAATAAAAAGTGCATCTTGTGAAAGAGAGAGACATGCAGAGCTGAAGAAAAGTGCAACACAAACGAATGTTACTCTCCATTGTCCCCAGGTCTCACTCTCTAACTTGCAGGGCATCAATCCAATAAGCCTGAGGTTGCTGTTCTTTGAGCATGGATTTATTTCCCACAAGACTATACACTTACTGCAGGCAAGACAATAACCCACTGAGCTAGCTTCCACACTAGGGCACGTGTAATTATATTTAGAAAAGAAAAAAAGGTACAAATAATGTTGCTGTATCATAGATATGATTTTTGTGTTTAAAAAAAATGATGGGTTTTCTTGAAATACAGATAAAATTCACCATTTATATTCTTAAATGTTGGAATGTTAGTTATTTCACACATACTTATGAAGATGAAGGGCTATTTATTACATACAATTATTAATAATTATCCCATTTGGTTATTCTAAACAAAATCACTCAGGTAAGACTTTAGTAAGAAGAATGATGCAAATAATAGGTTTAAAATTCGTATGACATTAAATTCTTAGATGGTTCTCTTTCAGGAATATTCAAAGACATTTTAGAGAAACAAGTTTATAAACCGAGCCAACCTTTACATGCTAATCTCGTATTTTTTAGGGTTTAACTCGATGGTTGGAGCAATCATGGGATTCTCAATTCTCATCAGTGCTGAAGTCTTCAAGCAGCATCCCAATGTCTGGTTTCTGGATGGCACCATTGGGGTTTTAATCGGACTAATCATCCTGGCCTACGGAGTCAAGTAAGAGTTTTGTGTTTGACAGACGTTTATTTCTCAGTTTTACGGTTTTGAAATCTCTTTCATTTCCTCCAACATCTGCTCATTTTCTGTTTGCACAGGCTCCTGAAAGACATGGTGCCACGGGTCAGGCAGACGAGGAACTACGAACGCTTCGAATGAAAGAGCCCGAGGCTAATCAGATTAGCAGTTTTAGACACACACACACACCCACCCACACACACCTGGGTGCCTCCTGCCCTCTCCTCTCTCATCTTTCATACACTCATCCACATACTGCTTGTACATTCACTATTACGGCATACATCATGCTCTGTTACATGCATATATGTGAATATACACTTTTGCTGTACATACTGTACATAGTGCACTCCGACATTCAATTACTCAAGTCTCAGAGACCTTGAGAGATAATGACATTATTGAAGATCTTTTCAGCTCAGAGGTTGTTTTTTTTTCCTCTCCTAAATGCTCCTAAATGCATCAAGTTAAAAATGACATCCTGGATGAGGAAGAGGTGAGATCACAAACTCAAAAGCTAAAGAAGTGCTTTGGGTTTGTTCAGGAAGGCAGAGACGGATGTCAATGCAGATTTTTATGTTGATAGTGTCTTTAAATAAGGTCTTGTGGAAAAAAGAGGGTTTATCCATGTAATTTACTAAATAAGACATTCAATGGGCTTTTTAGAATGAAGCCTTTCCTTCATTGTCAAACTCTTGCTCTAAGCAGCCCACTAATTTACAAACTTTATCATTTCAAGTGACTATTAAGCAGAAGTGTGTCTTTAAATGTTAAACAGAGGAAATCTTCTGAGATTAGCCTCTTAAATTATCTCTAAGACATGAAAACAAGAGGAGAAAACGGTTAATACTATATCTTCCTGATACATTAACAACTTTCAGTTAGGTGACTGAGTTAAGATGAAAGGACTCATTAAGCACAAACATTTGCCATAAAATGGCGATGGAGACAAAGTTCAGTGCACAAATCTGGAACTGTTTTGATGTTTTTGTTTTCTTTCTGTAATAAGTTCAAGCACAAATTAATGAACCAGCTATGATAACGTACATTTGTTGACTGCTGCTGACAGCTGATCATTGAGCCAACTTGGGCCAAACAAAGCCTTGAACATTTTTTTTTCATATATTGTCATGTTGAAATTAAACGTACTTTAAAGAGATTTTAAGTTAAACAAAACATAGTGTGTAATTGTGAAGTGTTCAGAGAATATCACTTTTTTTTTATCAGTACAAATGTGAAAAGTGTCATGCATTTGTTATCAGCACCCCCAAGTCAACAGAAGCACCATTCGCTGCATTTAAAGCAGACTAGTACCAGTATTGTGTCTTTGACTTTACAGAAATCCCTCATGCTGAGTATGCATGTGGCGACA